TTGTTCACAACAAACGCTCGTCCCAACCGGATAAAAATTACAAATCAATCGTAATATTACAAAAACACGATTTAAAACAGAACGTGTTAAGGAATGTGTATAAATGTTTAATACTTAAAATTATAATATAATATAGATTATAATTTAAGCAGATCAAAAATAACACGTTTTATTTCAATGATGACTCTTCTCGACTTATTGCCAATCCTGTAATACGTATATATACGCACCTGACACATCCACACACACACACACACACACACACACACACATATATTGTTTAAATATTTTACTTTATAGCACAGTTGGTATTGCTAGGTACATAACATTATACATACGCGTAATAACAAATATACACATGCATATGTCGTTATACTTTAATTAATAAAAACTTTGTTTTATAACTGATATTTTATGTCATACTTACACTTAATCTTTTTCGTTGTGTCTTATTAAAGTCTCTTTCATAAAAGTTATACGTTTTAGTAAATAAAAAAATTTTAAAATAATTGTTATTATCAAATTTCTTTCATATTTTATTAAAGTTGATTACTAAAGAATAAAGATTATATGTAGGTATAATAATATATATATTTTTGTTACACAAACACTAAATTCATTCCATGAATTGAAATGAAATTTTTTTATGGTGCAATTGCTAATCTCTCTAGTGTAAATTAATTATTCATCGATTTTCTTATTCGACTAGAATACCGATGATTTAACGTTTTGTAACAAGTTATTGAATTTTCTAGAGGTTAAAAATCGATATATATTCAAATAAAAATGAGATGTTTTATTTTTAAAATATTACATGGTTATACCTATATGAGGTTTGGATTTACTGGATGGATATCTTCTATTTTTTTTTAACTTTCTATCCAATAAGTTAATCGTATAATCAAAATATCGCCCAAAAACAAAAACTATTGTATTGTCAGTGGTATTGCGGCCAATGCACTCGCAAACAACCACAAAACTACGCATCATTGAACAGCTATATTTCTAGTTTTTTACCGTTTGTTTAATAATATTTAATATACAAAATAGATTACCAGTCATGTACTATAAAAATTATTAAATAAAAACACTAAGAAATCTAAATGAAACAAAGCTATGAATCTAGACTCAATAGTGGAGATTCACGATTTATTGTGTAACCTTAAGATATTTTCGAATATGGTTCACCCAGTGGTGACGTGCATTCAGAGAATATACGAATCATGACAGCAATATTTGAACCAGCACCGTAATATAGCATGTAATGCTCTAAACTGCTGTTCCAACAAGTTGCATTCAGTTGTCACAGAATTACACCCATGAGAGATGATAATACTATTTAAATATTTTATAAATATTATAAATATTTATAAACTAAAACTTTAACTTATAAGTATAAAATTTGTAAAATCATGCTTCGTTTTTGTCAGGAGCGATATGAAAATATACTATATTCTTCTTTGGTAAAATAACTTAATTTGTTCTATTGATTGAATATTTAAATGATTTTTTTACTGTATTCTATCGACCAATAAAATTCCGCTTGATTATTGGTACAGTTTGAATAGATATAATAATTATTACAATAAACATTCAATATCATAGTGACCATTTTTATATGATCAAAGATATCAAGTGATAACTATAAACTTACTATAGTACCTATTTAAATTTGGTACTATCTCACGTTAAAAACGATATACAAGTATTTATACATAAATACATTATATGCTTTAAAAAAAATCTTATATATTTTTTTATTATATTTTAAGTGTTTAACTTCCTATCCTCAATAATATCACTTGATTTTCAGCTATGCCCTTAAAGTTATAGAATAGTATTATCAAACTATACCAGCCTTAAAAGAGATACACTACAACTACGTAGTGAGTTGCAAAGCTTCAATTAGTAAGGATTGAGTGCTAAACATACAAAGTGATCAAGGCTTATAAAATACAAAACGTAATTTTGTTTAGTTATTTAAAATAAAAAAAAATTCTACAATTATATCAAATTGAATATTTAACCATTATATTTTACATCGTATTATAATATAATAATATGATTTCTAGTAGGTTCAAATAAGTCATAACTCACAAGTAAATATTTTCTTTTTTAACTTTCATGAAAAAAGTAACAAAATCACGATCATACTTTTATACTTGTCAAAGAAAACATGATTGAATATTGTCATTAATCATATTCAGTTTTGGAAAAAAAATTAATTACTAAACATACCTACTTACTTATAATATAAAATATCTGTTAAATAGTGACTTAAACGATAGATATCATTATTACAATAAACACGATTTATAAACCTAATATAAAGAAACTTTTTCCTAAATCATCGCTTTATAATAATAAAGTACATACTAAGAACGTACCTAGAATAACATTTTAAGTAGATGCGCCGAAATTGAACAAGAATTCATGAAGGAAAAATTGTATAATATATTTTAGTCCACACTCTATGCTATAAATTTATGTAGGTGTATAAGACGCCCCTCCCTTAAATTGGTATGAATGTTCTATACTCAAGGTTAATGTCACATACACAGAAGTTTTAGAAGAGTTGAATTGCAGGATATAATATTGCCAGGTGGTCACCTGGTAACACCTGCCGAAATATAATAACAATAGGCCGAGATCAACAGGGTTTACAAAGTGTTAGGATACATTGCTGATTTACAGCAATATTATAATACCAACACAACAAATATATCGAACAATTATGTAACGAGACATAAGTAGTATCAAACGTTTAATAACTACAGTAGAAAAATTAAATAACGATCACGATAATAAACTTCTAATTAAAAGATATACACTAATGTTAGAAGTACGTCTTATATATAAAAGTAATACTTAGGTATAGATTAATATTATTATTTACTATTTCTCTATAGTCAAAATAAGAAAATTGATATCATCTACATAAATTCAGAATACTTAACTTTTGACACAACATATTTAGTAAAAATTGTATTAACTATTATTAAAAAAAAAAAAAAAAAAATTAAAATCATAAAGCAGATGTACATAGCAAACGGTTTTTTTTTCATACTAGCAAGAATATCTATATTTCTAAATCTCAGTAGAATCCATAATACACATTATTATACTTTAATAGTTGATCCTAGAATCAAACGAACAACATTAAATTAAAGTAAAAATATGACCAATAACAAATATCATAGCCTTTTAACATCGAAACAAGTGCGCGACTAGTCATTAATTTATATTTATTGAATGGTCACATAATGAACCATAGATCATAAAGTTAGATACCTCGTTAGATACGCATATTAAACAAATAAAAACAAATATTTAAAACCTTTATATGATTCGAATATTCAATAATATTTATAATTGTACATTTACATTTCATAAAGACTAAAAAAATTAGTAGCTATATAAAATAAATATTTAGAAAATCATTGATAGTTTTAGAAATAAAGATTGTTAAGTGAATGAAACATAACATTAAAAACTATTCATGAAATTTTAAAATTTTCTTACTTATTTGACCACTGTTAAAATGTACCACATTCAAATAAATAGGTATAGTAGATTTTAAACACATTATACTGATCTCATGTATGGCATGCGTTGAATAAGATAAAGACGGAGATGCATTAACCTCATGCATGCCGGCATCTCTACATTACAATATATTGCTGGTATAGTCATATAACATATAAGTAATACACACACAATGGGGTGTTTTTTCTCCTTTTCTTTTTGGAGCGTAAGATTATCAGGTTACTGTGCTTAGGGGCGGTGACGATTTGGCGAAGGTCTTTTGTACATCCACCGGGTACGGTACACATAATATATTATATAGCATACACGATCACTACCTGCCTATCTACCTACCTACACACACGACTTGAAATTTGATTTTTTTTTTTGTTCGTCCTCCAAAAACACCTGGCGGACGATAGACGCTGCACGCAGTGCAACAACAGATCCGGCGTAAATAATACAATATAGTATTATGTGCCTGGTCACGGTCCATCAGTGGTTAGGTAGGAGGGGGGCATTGTAGTAATGGCGAATACCGGTTTATTGCGTCTCCGTCAAGCATATTTAGTGGGTAACCTACACGAAGACGACGACTCCACTGCGAGAACAGCGATTTTCCGATGTGGCGCGGCAGCAGCTGTATGTTCGCATAACAGTAGATAATAAATATTTAGTTATAATCAGCCGCTATAATTTCGGTTGTAAGTTCCTGTGGTAGGCCCACGAAATAATGACAACAAATCGCATGGTAATATTATAAAACATCATATTATGATTAGACGACTAAGAAAAGTAGGTTAAGTGGTTAAACGTTCCGCGAGGATTTTCCTTCCCAACGTCCCGGTATCGTTACCTATCATTCACATTTGGTTATCGATATCACGTGTACGAAACAATACAACAAATGATTAGAAGATTAGAAGGTATTGACATAATTCATAAAACATAGGGTAATGTCTAGATGTCGTGTCCTAACTCCTGAGAAATTATTTTTCTGGTATGACGAATGACGATGACTTGGATGCCTGAGAATCTGAGTAATCGTTGCGCGAACAAAAATAATGTAAAACCACAGCCACTCAAAAAGAAATAGCAGGGGAAGGGGTAATCGCATGAAAGGAGGCTGATCGTTAGCTGTTAGTCTACTCGCAATAGTCGCAATACAGACGGGGGATTTCGAAAGAACCGTTTCTATCTACTACTTACTATATTATACATCTCGCGTATTCATATACTATAAATTAGATTTCTCATTTAGCGTTTAATATTTTACTAATAGTTATCTATTACATGTACCCCCCTACGAGTGATTTAATTTTCTGTATACTGATCGAAAACCTGTTTGCCGCCGATCTGCACAAGAGATTCGCGCGCCAACAAATTACACCGGTTAATAATAAACCGTTCTACGCGCACAATAATATTATTGCTATTCTACATAAAATGGTAGGTTATAATAATGATTTTTTTACCTCAGATAGATCGCTGGTCCACGCTAACGTATCAATGACCGTCTTGTCGTTGCCGTTGAAGCTCAACGCGATTGTTGAACCGCACAGCAGTACTAGGAGGACCGCGGACGCAAAGCCCGTGATAGTGGAAGATTTCATTTTTAAAAGAAAAGAAAACGTCACTCGGAAAAAAAATGGGACACTGGAAAATCTTTATAACTTTTCTACGGAAAACGTTACAACTATTAATACTATAATAATATAACAACGATAGAAATGGTAAGTAGGAAAATTAAGTTTAAAAAAAAAAAAAAAACCGTAACTAATTCCCGTCAATAAACATACTTATTTGAAACTGCTCGAGAAACAAACTACAGCGCACGGGCACTACCGAGCGACGACAAAGACGAGTGATACCTGTAAGGCGGTAACGGACAGACTGGTAGAAACAGGGAAAAAACCGCGGGATGGTACGCCGGTGCTGTTGCCGCAAGATCGGTACAGCGTCTGCTGACGGCGCCCGGCGAAACTACGCGCGGCAGGCGGGCCAGTCCATCCGGATCAATATTTCCCGCCACCGACGCGGCGCACTGCAACGGTCCCCCGCGCCGCTCACCGAACCGAAGTAACTGACCGGCGGCGGGTGGGGTGGTAACGACTAGCGATGGCGATGATGGTCGTCGTCGTCGTCGTTGTGGCGGCAACGGTTAAAGTGGCGGTGGTCGTTATGGCGGCGGTGTCGCGGGTGAATATATTTTATTATTTCGAATTTACCGCGGTCGCCAGCCCGACGTATCGTGTGTCCGCCGCCGATGTGATTGGAGGTCGTGTTTTGATTAAGACGCCGAGATTATTGATTGTCTCTTAGCCCCGGCGACGTGGCGATAGTCTTGATTTGCGCGTACAGAGGCACCTAACTATGGCAGTATGCCTCGACGGTGAAGCAAAAAAACCGTACCTAGGGATCTAATAGAAAATACGAACGATTTTCTTTATCCCAAAAACTCCATAAAATATTATTATCGTTATACCTACATGCTTTATAGGTTACGAACCGACGTTAAATAATATCTATCGTATTATCCCAGTAAGTCGTACGCGGTATACAACGACAACGATGATATTATTATACATATTTATAATATTTATATATTTATAATACCTATATATAACCCTACATCGGCTACATCATAACCGTACGTTCAACAGGATTTTACGGTTTTTATTAATGCTTTTTAAGAAGTAAAATTCAATGCCATTTCGTATTCAAGATAATGGATTGTGTAAAATCATCTTCGATCTTGTAATTTGGAGTTTACATTGAAAAACAATTGATAATAAAAAAAAAAAAAAAGATTTGTAACGAACAAAATAGGTATATAATATTATTATATACAAGTATACACAATAAACAAAAAAAATATATAGCTATGAGCATAGCTAAATAACACATTTATAACAACGCAGTTTCAGGTAGCTTATGGTAAAAAAAAATAATTAAACTTCATTTTCATGATACATTTAATTAATTGTTTATGTATTATCAACCGACTATACCTAAATATTTTAGTTTGTTTTTATTTTATTTTTTTTTTAATGTTCATCGTTATATTTTCATAACTTTTGATTCAATTAAAAAATAAATAAACATTCCCTTTTGTATTCTTTTAATAAGATACTTTATACACTTCTTATTTTGATAACTATTCATTCAAAAATGAATTTAAATATATTATTTACTTATCTGTTTATGCTAAATATCATACAATTAATCACACTGTTGTTAAACATAGGTAGTATTTCCTTATTCCAAAATTAACATAGGTAACACGGTCTAATTTAAAAATAAATATTAAAATAAATTTGATTATACTGTTCTAAGCTCTTGTAAAATAATATTTAAGATGATAATATTATGCTAATATCAAAAAATCTAAAATACATTTTTATGTTATTTATCAATTTTATATTTTCTTTATGAAAATATTGCGATGTTATTATAATATAATACAGAAGAAAGAATGAAAAAAATACATTGTGCTTTTGAAAGAAAAATATATTTTAGTTGTGACACTTAGAAAATTTTACCACTTACCTAACCTCAGCAATTTGCACATACTTTACTATAAGAAGAGGCTTTAAGTACCCTTTAGTGTTTTTTTGCTATATATTGTAGCAATAAGATCGAAAATACTTATCCCTTTTTTATATTTGTTTTTACTGTATCATCGAAGTTAAACGCAACCCATTATGAACTGTATATTTAGTATTGTAATATTTTATATACTACAAACTATGTATAAAACATTACGTGTGTTATTAAAATTATAATTTCCTGACATAATTCTTCACTATCAAATATGAATGAACACAATTTAACCTTGAAAAATACAATATTTGCTATAATTTTGTTGTTAACTATACATAATACAAATATAATATCATGTTTATGAGTTAAACTATTTATGGTTTTATGTTCACACAATATTATACACGCCTTGTATATTTAAAGATACGCAACAAATTATACACATATATGAATAACTATTTATTTAAGCTTTAAATTATACGAATAATTATATTCTATACATAATAAGCAATAATACCTATGTAACTTAATTTAAAATAAACTTAAGTATGCATATAATATTAAATAGATACATTAAAAAAAAAATAATAATAAAAAATTAAGTAAAATTTAATATTAATAATTAATTAATAATTAGGAAAGTATCTAATATTATAATGATAGTTTATAACCTAAGTTAAAATTTACAATTTTAAAGATTTGATTAAAATCATTGTAATACTAACAAACAAAAGTTTATAGTAAATAATTTAAACCATATATAAATATATTTATTATTTGTACTAAGTATTCTTTAACTTTATCATTGTCTTATTTCTATCTTACTCAATCTTCGGGAAAAATAAAAATCTATTTATATTATGATATTATAACGTCAAACGTTACTAAAACTTAAAATAATTTAGGTACATAATAATAATAATAATAATTTTTTATCTAGGTACTTGATAATTCTTCTCTCATTTTAAAATTGATATGTATCTCTCAATAGTTTATAGACTTGTTTATAAATATTCTGAAATTTTGAACAAACAGAGAAACATGGCATCTCCACGACAACTATATAGGTGGATATATATAATGAAAAAGATCAAATCCTGATGCCATCTTTTATATACCAAAAGTACTTATATATATTATTCATATTCAATTACACGAGATATATTCAAAACTTTTTCATGTTTTTGGATTGATAAACAGAGGAAGGAAAAAAATAAACATAGCACTAACAGAAGTACATAAATACATACATTCACATACTAATTTATCACTAAAAAATATTTTATTGCATTTAACGAAAAATAATGAATATTAATGTTTCAATATCTTCTTCAATAAGTATAAAATAAAATATAAACTCCTTTTAATACGTTTAAAATTTATTCTTTCCCTAATTTTATTCTTATACCTAGAGTGCACAAATTTAATAAAATATTATTGTTATATTCATTACTGTTATTAGATATGCCACAGATAGTTTTGTGTGAAATACCGGCACTTTTTATCATGCTATTTTAATATGGACAAAGCGTGTTGCCCCTTTTATCGCATTGTTCGTGATTGAATTATTTGAATTATTCACCAAATAAAATCCAGCCGTCACTAATAGAATGATAATAGATTTTAAGACATGCTTTTAAGGCATTGCTAGCTGCTAATATTAAATCATATTTGATGGTACCTACCTATAGGTGTTCCGTGCTCGTAAAAAGAAGTTTAAAAACCCATTAAATACAGCAGCGTGTTAAATAAAGAACTTACCTATACCTAATGCTCCACTTTAATAATAGGTAATATATTATTTGAAAAATAAATACTAAGGATACAATGAAACGCAGATAATATTATAACATTAATAACTAATATACGATTAGAAGTTAACATTTAATTTAATAAACGGTTAAATATGGGTTCAACCAACTATCTAAAAACGTGTAAACAATTCAAATTGAAGTAGTTATAGAATGACGTCATCAAAAACCGTTAATACTAATATATACATTAAATATTATAAACCATAGGTATGTTTAAAACATGCATCATTCGTGTGGACATTTAATATTGATTAATGTATTAATATATTGTTATATAATGCTAAATCATTCATTCATTAAATCGCCTAGCAAAATATTTTTTTGATAATATTTGTCAATATACAACTTATTTTTTTTTTTTTAGTTACTTTATAAATTTAATTTAAAAAATTAATATTTTTATACTGTATAGTTGTTTAATTAAAAAAAAATATTTTTTTGTTACGTGAAGGTAAGAATAAGTTATAACTTATATTATATAGAAATTGCGATAAACTATCTATATTTTCTATTTTTATTTTTATTAAAGAACAGTATAATATATTTATACTATTTTTGTTTAAAACATAAAAAAGATAAGTTTTTCCTTTTATACAAAATACAACCGATTCAAAAATAATTATGTTCATAAGAGATGTATTTGATAAAAATACCCCAAATTATATAATTAATACTTTACTTAATATTATTTTTTATTTAGACAAGGAAAAAATGTATAAATGTATACATCACAATTTTACAAGAATAAATTTAATTTTAAGATAAAAAATAAATAAAATTTAGATAAAGTAATTTATACTGTATAGTTTATAGTGTTAAAATAAGTACAAAAATGTTTTCAATCAATTATAAAATACTTATATTAAAAAATGTTAAATGTTTCACTTATTCGTATTTTTTATGTTTATTGATACATATTATGTTTTATAGTGTGTAATGCAAAAATCGTTTTAAATTATAAAAACTTAAATTTTAACATAAGCTTAAGATTTTTAAATTTAAAACATAAGAATAAGATTTTTCTCTATTAAAAATATATTATATATTTTATACTTTAAATTTGTATAACCTACTCCAATTCAATTTTATTTAAAAAAAATAACTACCTATATAATTACTAATTATTAATTACACTAATTCATATATCCATTAAAAGTATTTTGAGTTTTATAAAATATTTATTATATTATTTAAAAACGCAATGTCATTTACAGTATTCAAGTTAATATATGATATTTACATACAAATATTTATTTAAAAATATCCCTTAAGAATAATTTATCATTTAAAGTCTAATAATACGAAAATCTTTCTCCAGAAATTAAATGTTTATTGGCGAATAATATGAATATTTTTAACTACATTATAATTATCATTAACAATAGAGTAGTTTAACTGACAATAGAAGATGGGTCAATATGTTCCTTGTCATATCCTATTGTTTAATGTAAATTATTACATGCATATAATATATATTTTTTTCGTGAACATTCATTGGACCCAGTAGCAACGTCACGGTATACGTAATATCAGAAGGAAACAATGTTCCGGCCGGCTAGGCATACCGCGACCAACGCCCTCGTGAACATTGGGCGAAAATAAAGG